GTGTCAAGCCCAGGAAATGTACACATGCTGTAGAATTTACAACTCATCACTGTCACAGTCAGATTAGAGTTCGAGTTAAAGAGTTATACATTAACCAGGGTTAGTGCATGGAGCTTGCTGCTAAAGACCTGCAAAGGCAATCAATGTCCTGCAGGCACAATGAAAAATAGAAGTATAGCTGGAGGTGTTCGGAGGTCAAAGAATTGGCCCACACGTACTAGTGCTCCGGAATTTACTTCTTTTTTTTTTTTTTTTTTTTTTTTTTTTTTTTTTTTTTTTTTTTTTTTTTTTTTTTTTTTTTTTTGGGCTGTTCTGCAGTGTGACTGAATTGTCATTTGCTTGTTTCGACTCAAGGGAAACATCTGGTTTCTCTCTGCAGTATAGACAAACTGCCCTTATTCTGAAGCTCTCATCCATGAAAAGCACGGTTTGGGCTCAATGGGTTTGCTTATGAAAGGCTCGGGGGTCCATCTCTGCAGAAATAAACAGCTCTAGCAATTGGAAGTTTGTTCCCCGTTATAAACTCTAGCTCAGAGGTGACCTGGGTGAAGTGGCAGAAGCTGAACGGGATGCATTTATTTCATAGAAGGCATTTTATGATTTAGGATGTGTCCGGCAGAGAATCTGCCACTTAACCTTTGAAAAATCTCTTACCCAACTTCTGTAGAGTTTCTGCAAAGATACGTAAGAATCCCAGAGCCTAGAGGTTGGAGACTGGGTGTGACAGGGTCCAAAAGAAAAAAGAGGTCTGGGGGGCGAGTTCTGTGGCTTCAGATCTTAGAACACGGCCGGATCTTCCTGTGCACTTTATAAAGAAGATGCGAATGGGTGTTATTACTCCTGTTCAGGACCAGCTATGTAATTTGCGGGACTCAGTGCAAATTGTTTAAAAGTTATGAAGAATTTGAAGATGAAAACAGTAGGTCATTTACCCAAGGGTGAGGGGATCTATGTGAATACACAGGTCACGTGCCCATGGGTTGGACTCGGCTTCTAGAAGTTTTAGGAATCTCTAGGGTAGATGACACACACACACACACACAGAAAAATTAGGGGTGCTTGGACTTCTCAGTGGGGTGTTGGGAGAGAATTTTCTTCTAACCAGATAATGGACTGTAGGGAGAGTTCCTCTCGCTTGAGGTAGGTAATGATCACTGTCAGTGTGTTATTTTTCATGTATCGTATTCTTTTGCTAGGAAGACGGGAGCTCTGCCACCGTGCGAATGTTTCTTGTTCTTTTTTTTTGCAAGAATATTGGTAGAAAACTCAGAACGGTGGTTCACGTGAGGTTAGAAATTATGTGTTTTGGGCCCTTTCCACAATTTTCAGAGTCTTGTTGTTCTGCAAGTTAATCCCAGCCACTGTGTGCTCAGCTCTTCTGACTCTGGTCCTCTTTCTCTCCTGCCCCAGCGGGGCCTTCCCTACCTACTCGTGGGCTTCTTAGAGAGGGGCGTTTCATTTGGACGTCGGCAGCCAAAACCCCAGTAAATGTTGGAATCGAAATACTGGTCTCTGCTTCCCCCTTCTCTTTCTTTCCTGCCGCTTTTCCTCCTTTCATTCTCATGGTTTTAATTTGTCTTTTCTCGTTCAGAACGCACAGGTACACAGACACATGCTAAATGTGTGTTCTGTGTGCAGGCCTGAGCTACACATTTTTGATCCCCCAAAAACGGTAGTGCGGCCCGAAAAGTCCCAATGTATGGTCAGGACTGTGTGTTGGCTCGATAGAGCGAGTGAATCTGAGGGTCTCCCTGTGTGGAACCTGCAAAGCTGAGGCTCATCCCCGCCAAATACTAAAATGCTAATGAGGGAGCCGGGGCTGAGAAACCCCAGTGACCTCAGGGTGGTGTGGCCCCCACTGCCCTCCTCCTGAGATGGAGCCAGTTACAGTAGGAGGGTTTGTCGGAGGGATCGGCCTGCTGGGTTTAGTCAGAAACTGCTCTGCGAGCACAGCGGATTAAAGGGTTTTTGTTGAGGTAGAACAGATGGACACAGAGGCAGAGTTCAAATTAACCGATCGTAAATCAGGACCCTGCCGTGGAAGGGAAAAATCTGGGCCTGGTCACTTGAAAGTTTGAGCTAATTTAATTTATTACATCTTTTTCTTATTGGAAGAGCACCTCATGTTTATTATAAGAAAATTGTCGTGAAGAGTTTAGAAAGTATTTTTGCCAAAGAAAGGGGTAAATCTCCTCTGTCCCTAGAAGGAATCACCCTTAACCCTTTTAGTATAATCCTCCTGAGTTTGTCCTTTGTCTCGCTAACACACACATATGTCCATATGCAGTTATTATTTAATAAGAGTTATAACAGTGCTCTTCTTAGGGTTAGATATTAAGAGCAAACTTGTGAGTAGGTCTTGAAGATCAGAACACAGGCTCAGGGATGGTTTGGGTCAGGCCACCAGCATAAATTTCAGTAATAAAACCAAAGACAGTATGTAAGTGTATGTTCGGGAAAGTTGGGGCGAGCTCAGGTGAAGGAAAAGCTCACTGGCTCAGGGGGTGGGGGGGCACGATGAATTCACGATCTTCCCTTGAGGAAGCCTTTGATAAGTCGTCCAGAGAGAGCAGCGTATCTGTATGCATTTTTCCTGTTGCCCCCTCACTGGGCAAGAAGAATTGTTCAGGTCGGAAGAGAATTCTGCGCGTGGAGCCCGCTCTTCATTCAGCCATTTCTAACGAGCTGACTCGTAGGGCTCGCCGATGTTCTCCGTTCCCTCTGCCAATATATCGACACAGCAAACGCTTGAGGCTAGCGGGTCCCGAGGATGCGCAGGCTCAGGCCATTGGGTTGAATTCGTGCTTTATGAAAGCAGGGCCCTATCAGATGCTCCCTTCCTAGGCGGAGAGAGTCTAGCCGTCCTCAGAGCCATCTGCCACGTGTTTTCTAGAAGTCGTTCGTGTTCAAGAGCTGCCCTTTTAGCGTCAGGTCTTCTCACTGTTACCATGACAAAATTTAATTAAGTACGAACGTTAGTTAAAAATCAAACCCTGTGGAACCTCTTAGAAAGAGTTGTTTCAGTTGAAGTCATTGGAATGCCTTGAAACATCTCATTTAGTGGTGAATTACTAAAAAGACCCATGGCATTAAATGATGTGAAAAGTGTATGATAAAATAACTTGCGTTGTGCACTAGTTCCTGGTGGGTGAGTGTCGGGTGTTTGTCGAAGGAGTGAGTCCACGGTGGGGGACAGCAGGTTCAGAACTCCCAGGTCACCCTTGCTCTGGGGCATATACTTTATCGAGGAGGACTGAGAATCGTTAGTATTTTCTTCTCTCGTGGCTGAACATTTGTAAGTTAGATGGGCTTCTTACGAGACGCCAAAAATATGAAGATTTTTATGGTGTTACTCCCTTGTGTGGGAATTTGATCCGTCACCAGAATAAAGACCCATGTCCTCCACAGGCTTATTTAGGGGGCGCTGGGCCACCTGGCCCCCCAAGCCCTTCCTCTCTTTCTCTTCTGTGTGATGCTTTCTGCCTTGCTAAAGGAGTTCCAGCCTGTGGCCACGCAGATGCATGTGCTACGCATGTGCATCACTGTCTCCCATCTCATGCCTTCCTTTTTCCTGATGCTGGAAACCAGTATCCTTCATCTGGTTAATTCGGACCTCAGCTCTCCTGTAAAGCATTTGCTGATACCTCCCCATACCCCAGCCCATTCATTCATTATTTGTCTCTTGCCGCCTTCCTGCCACTGGAGTGCGAGTCCCGTGCATCCCACCCTTAGAACACCTGGCCTCCAGCAGGCATTCAGTTAAGGGGGGCTTGAATGCGGAGTGAGCAGTCAGGAGCCTTCTGGGTGCCAGGCACTGTTCTTGGTCCTCCTTCAGTGGGGCAGGTCTCCTTTTCTGCTCCCTTTGCATGCTGGACTTTCTCCCATCCTCTCACACACTAATTTGCACTAACAGCATTTGTCTTGCTGTCTTTCTCACCAGCTTATGGGTTTGCAGACCACAGCCGGTGGGCCAAATTCAGCCCACCATCTTGGCTCGGCAGCCAGGAACATTTTTTACATTTTAAAATATAAATGTACAAAGGCTCCTTGCCTTTGGGCAGAAGAGTTGTTGGGAGAGTTGAGATTGTCCATTGGCTGCGAAACCTAAACTGTCTACCCTCTTGCCCTTTACAGGACACGTTTGTCGACGCCTGCGTGAGACTATGAGCTTTTTCTTTAGGACAAGGGGACTGTCTTGGATCTTCGAATTCCTAGAACGTGGCACTTGAGTAAACGTTTTTTGAGTTGAACCGAAGACCCTCTTTTTTATTCCATCCTCTGGAGTCAGATGAGGGTTTGAATCTTGGTGCTGACCCATTCTAACGTTGAGACTAGGGGAAGATGGGGCCTCTCTGAGCCTACTTTCTTTGTCTGAAAACTGGAGATAATATATTTTTCTGGTGGCCTTTGAGAGGAGCAAGCGAAGCCATCAGGATGTCAGTGTCTATACAGCGCTTAGCACAGTGTTAGTGTTTAATGTTAGCGGTTATTGTTTATCCAGATAAACATCCAGCCACAGTTACGTGATCTGATCATAATCATCAACTGCACTATAGAGCAATCGCAGATTTAAAAAGAGTCAGTCATTTTGGGTTATCCTCTTTCTCTTTGATGGTGTTGAGAATTAAGTGTTGACCTTCTGTCCATGGATCTGACTCTGAATTTTCTTCCCTATTTCTCTGTGTGTGTGTGTGTGTGTGTGTGTGTGTGTGTGTGTGTTTGAGGCTGAATCTTTTATGGTGCTGATTTAGAATAGCTTCTAAGGTGCTGTTAAGACAGAAGATCTTACTTGAGTGAGTCATTCCAGCGCTCCGCAAAACGGGGATTCATTTTTGGGGCGGCCTCTGTGGTAGGTGAACCTTTTCTCGGAGAGACAGGAGATGCCGCTGCCGGGCTCAGGGGCACGTGCTTCTGGGTCTGCAGGCTAGCGGACACCCTGCCGAGGTACGCAGACTTGGAAGGAATTCAGATGTGATGTATCTGGGCCTGTTTCTTTGCAGGGACAGTGAAGGTGAAGAGCTCCAGCATCCAAGTTGGAGATCTTATCATCGTGGAGAAGGTGAGTGGGGTCTCACGGCTCCTGATGGCTGCGCGGGCGCGCGGGCGCGGGACGTCACTGCCCCCACTTCACGAATCCCGACGCGACGTGTGATTCGTGTATCTGGTGGCCGCACCGGACGTTTGCTTTCTGGGATTCTACCCAGAAGCTTTGCCTGGGGAGAAACATCTCTTTCGCATGAGAGAGAGAGAGAGAGAGACACAATTTTTTCATGGTTTCTGTGTGCTTCTTAGCTAGAAATCCAAGTTACAAACACAATTCCAAGGCCTATTTGATGTGCTTGTTGTTTTGGAGTCTTCTTTTAAACCTCATCATAATGAAGTTTTTCCTAGAAGTCTGCTGGCTGCACAAGCACATAAAAATGTTCGTCATTTACCTCTTGAACAATTATGGCTCACATTTTTTGACTTAAATAACATTGTGCTTTTCTGTCATTTCATGGGGAGTGGGGGGTTAAGTGAAACATGAGAACAGTAAAAAGGCCCCAAGTGCATTTTTAAAGATAGCGCTGTCGATACGTTTGTTACTCCAGCACTCATACCTTTTCTTACTGTGTGTGTTTGGGAGGTGTTGGATTTTGGGGGTGGCCCTGGAGAGTCTTGGAGTCATATTTGATTAGAAAAGGATTGCATCTTAACTTGTTTCTGTAGGAAGTGAACTGTGCTCTTTTAAAAGGATTAAATCCAAGAACTCACAGTTGATTTGGGGTAAAGTGAAGCTCTCCTGGGTGGCAGCTCAGAAGACCCACACAAACTTCATGTTATGACATACTTGCCTGTTCACAATTACATGAGGCCTGCTGTTGGCTTCCCTCTTTTTTCGAGAACGGCTTTTGTTGCTTCTTGCTACTTGACTTCCTTATTAAAATCCCACTCGAAGCCAAACATCAAGCCAGAAAATTGGTAGAAGCAGAAAGCGTGAGCCGAGTGTATGTATGTAGTTTCAGCAGACAGCCTGGAAGAAAGCCAGCTCGGGGGGCAGGCTTTGGGCTCCCGGGTCCTCTGGCTGCAATTTCAGGAGGTAATGGTTGGATTCGCCAGAAAACTAGAAGGTCTCTTTCCGAGATGAGATTTCAATAGGAGATTAGTAACATAAGGGCAGCGTGCGAGAGTTTTCAGATTCAAAACAAAATAAATCCCCAGATCTGTCTTTGACAAAGGCAGACACTTAAAAGAGGCTGTGGGTTTGGGTTGCCCCCCTCCGCCCCCCACCGAGGGGGTGGGGGCTTGGGGATGGAAACCTCACACAGGGGCATTCACGGTAACAGTCTCTCTGTTCATAACGCAGAACCAGCGGGTCCCTGCTGACATGATCTTCCTGAGGACATCAGAAAAAAACGGTAAACATCTGGGATCAATTTTGAAAATAACCATTAACCTTTCAGTGGTAATTTGGCAAAATAATCATTTGAAAATGTAACAGAAGTAGATGATCATTTTGGAGCCATGGAGGCAAATCAAGAACGTTTCTTTTCATAGAGCAGTCTTTAAAAAAAAAAAAAAAGGTTTTTGGTGCGCGCAGGTCAACAGATTTTGATCATAGCAAAGATAGTCGGACCCGTGCTGAATCCCAGCTGGGAAAGTCACACAGGGTGGCTGTGCTTTTCCCCGCTGGGCTGCATTAAGCTCAACCGCAGGAGTTGGCAGGACTGGGAAGTGTGTCGAACAAACAGAAGCAAACAGAAACTCCTCTGAGAAAATACTGGGAGAGTGTCATGAGATGGGGCGGTAGAGAAGCTGGGGGGAGAGGTAGGGGTAGGTGGCCTTTCCCCACCTTGGCTCACGAGTGGTGGGGCCATAATCACCCCTGCCCATCGATTTATTTGTCGTTACAGCCTATTTGCCTGAGTGCAGCTCTCAAGTCTCTTGCAAGACCCCACTCCTCGCGATTACAGTTGTCTCTTGGTGTCCGAGGGGGATTGGTTCCAAGACCCCCGTGGGTACCCAAATCCACAGATGCTCAAGTCCCTTATATAAAATGACGTAGGACACTCGGCCGTCTGCACCCGCAGGTCCTGCACCCGCAGGGCAGGCTCCGGGGGGCCCGGCTGCGTTTCCCACTGTGGCCGCCCCCGCTGCCTCCTGCCCTCCCCGTCGGTTGACTCAAATCTCTTTCTTTTTATTTGTTGTTATTTAAGCTGTTTTGAGGAAACAAGGCTGTTTTTCTCTTGCCCATCAGGCATAATCAGAGATCTTCAAACGTTGGAAAAATCCGTATTTGTATCCCTTGGAGGTTGCTGCAGCCTCTTTTATGATGAACTGGATAAAAGTGCGGATGACATGATATACTAATAATATGTTAAATCATCCAGAGAGGGGGTGGAAAGCACTCCACTAAAACAGTCTTCTTTTATTTATTTACTTATTTAATTAATTAATTTATTTTTGGCTGTGCTGCACGGCTTGTGGGATCTTAGTTCTCCAACCAGGGATTGAACCCGGGCCCTTGGCAGTGAAAGCATGGAGTCTTAACCACTGGACTGTCAGGGAAGGCCCTAAAACAGTGTTCTTCTAAACACTGCAGCTTTGTCCTCAAATTGGTACTTGTGTCCTCGTCAGTGAAACCGGAGTGTTATGGATTGGGGGTGCCAGATGTGCTCTCCCTTTGTTCCAAAAAAAAAAAAAAAAAAAAAAATTAAAAGGGATCTCCTGAAAGTCCTCAGAGGTCTTAAGTGCGGTGTCAGGGAGTTCAGTACATTCTCTGTCTGATGAAATACAGAGCTGACTGATTACTCAGACTTGTACAGGTCAGATTGAAATGTGTATCCACCAAATTTGCAGGTCGATAGTCACGGCAGACAGTTAACGTGGTCCTTGGGGTCCTTTCCCTGTTCTGAGCAGTTTGCATGGATCAGCTCTTTAGGCCTCTCAGCATGAGGTTGGCGCTATAATATCCTCATTTGTGCACTGGAGGAAACTGAGGCTCAGAGGGGAGAAGTAACTCCCTCAGGGCACAGCTAGGGAGTCGTGGAGGCTGAACCTGAACCCAGGAGGTCTGGTTCCTGAGAAGGCGCTCATAAACCCCTGCCCTGAATGGACTCGAATGCTGGTTACCCCGTGCCAGCCGCCGTGCTGGAGGTATGATCAGCCCTCTGAATCCTTTACAGCAGGCTTGTGAGATCTGTGTTTCTCCCCATTTTACAGACAGGACACGCCGAGGCTTAGCAAGGTCCAGAAACTAGCCCAGGCTCCCACTGTGAGTGGTGGAGCGAGGTATTTGAACCCAGATCTTTCTGACCCCAGAGCTTATGGAGGAGATGGGAAATTGGGTATTTATTTTTCCCTCTTGGTCGTTGGCCATTGATTGGCTGTTTTTACAAGTACGAGAGCCGGAGCTCCTCGGAGCTGCCACGGGAAGGATTCTTGAATTGCAGGTGAACGGACGGTGCCTCACTTCCCTCCACAGGCTCTTGCTTCCTGCGGACGGACCAGCTGGACGGGGAGACGGACTGGAAACTTCGGCTTCCTGTGGCCTGCACTCAGAGACTGCCCACCGCTGCTGTGAGTAACTGTCCCTGCAGAAGCCCCACTGGCGACTGTGTCACCTCAGGGCTCTCAAACTCGGGCCCCTCAGGGGCCAGACACGGGCCGTCAGGTGTGAGGTGGGGGTCCTGGGGGGTGTGGGGTTCTCGAGAGCCCCGAGTGCTTGCTGGCTCCAGGCCGTGTGGCCTTGTGAACACAGACCTGGCCTGTTGGGATGGTACTCTTTTGAGGGAAGCTCCAGCTCTAAGAAACCTTGACCAGATATCTGGCATAAAAGTAAAACCCAACGCAGAGCACGTTATTCTCTGCTCAGAATCTCCAAAGGCATCTCAGCCTCCTGAGACTCGATCCTGCGGTCCTCGTCTCTCTGCTAAGGGCCTGACCTCAGCCTCTTGCTCTCTCCCCTCTGCCCGCCAGCTCCAGCCATACAGGCCTCTCCATCAGGCATGCTTCTGCCCCCCGACATTTGCCCTTGCAGCTTCTCCACGAGGAACAATCAGACTCACTCTTGGTTTTTGTGTACAAGTCCCCTTATTGGAGAGGTGTTTCCTGACCACCCTCTCCTTGCATTCCCACTCCACTCACTTCAAGGCAGAGTCTTCGAGAGCAGGTTTCTGTCGGTGTGTTCGCTGCTGTGCGCCCAGTGCATGGAACAGTATGTCGAACGGTGCATGGAACAGCATGCAGGCCCTGTCTGAGGGGGGCGGCCCCAGTAGTTGGAACCAACAGGCCTCCGAGCTGCCCGGGGCCTCACACTTCCCCACCAGCTCCCTGTCACTCATGCCTTAAACTGTAGAGTGAGGTAGGGAGGTAGTCAAAGAAGGAGTTTGAATGCAAGCCAGCTGGGCTGGATGAGGCCTGGGGAGTAGGTTACAAAATCACAAAATGTAATTTAAATGCCCAGAGACTGACATGCCCTGTGGGTGGTCTGAAAGGATTAAGCAGAGCGCAGAAGCTTTTCCTGGGCTTGTGGCCACATTGATTAATGCCAGTCCTTACTGCGTCCTGTGAGGAAGGGAGAGGGCAGGAGACAGTTCTGTGTCTCAGTGGAGTGAACGTCACAGTAAACGTGCCCGCGGTACTGATGATTCTTCATGGCCAATAAGACGGGAAATAGCACCATCCTTATTATTATTTGTTTCGACCAGGAATTCTAGTGAGTTTTCAGCTGTGGCCAGGAGCCCTGGGGAATCCTTGAGATGGGGCTAACCAGCGAGGGTCACTCCCATGACTTGAGGGACTCTGTTCAGGAGACAGTCCAGAAGAGTCTAGAATCGTGAAGGTGCCCGCCGGTTCCACGGCTCTGAGTTCCTTTCTCGATGTGCACTTTGGAAACTTCACCCAGTTTCATAAACATTCGTCTTCTCCAGGCCTGGGTTGGCATCCAGAGAGAGATAAGGTACCACTGTCTGTACCTTCAGCCTTAGTGGGCTGAAGGGGCCTCGTTGGCTAACAGCGTTTTGACAAAGTCATAGATGAAGAGAATTGTATGGAAAGATTTACCCGAGGAATACGCGAGTATATTCTATTTAAAAAGAAACTCGAATTGTAGGAACAGGTGAAAAGTGTTGCTCACAGCCTCCTCCCCAGATCTTACCTCCCTCTCCCAGGGGCTCTCGTGAAGTCAGTAGTGGTTTTTCCAGGTCCTTTTTCGTGCAGTTTCTTACAAATACACAACTGCACACTTGCTGGTGGGGTGTGGTTTCTCATAAATGAGATTGTGCTGTGATTATGATTCTGAAACGTTTTTCCCTTCACTTTCTGTCTGTGGGCCTTTTTTGTTTATCAGCACATAGATGCCGCATTACCCACACGTCTGCATACGGGCCTCCTGGATGGTTTGCAGGGAGCTCAGGGCCTGCTGAGGGCGTGGCCAGTAGCCTCTACTCCACTCCAGGCCCTTGTTGCTAAGGGGCATTGTGGCCTGAATTTGCCTGACCACTTGATTTGGTTCCCCCCACGCCCGTCTTTTTTATTGTGGCAGAATATACATAAAATTGACCATCCTACCATTTTTGAGCGGACACTTCAGTGGTGTTAAGGACATTCACACTGCTGTGCAGCCATCACCACCATCCATCTCCAGACCCCCATCATGGAAACCTGCAGCTCTGGACCCGCTAAATACTGCTTCCGGTTCCCCCCCTTCCCCCAGCCCCTGGCAACCACCCTTCTACTTCTTTCTCTATGAGTATGACTACTGTAGGTGCCTCAGATAAGTGGACTCCTATGGTATTTGTCTTTTTGTGACTGGCTTATTTCACTTAGCATGGTATCTTCACAATTCATCCATGCTGGAGCAAGTGTCAGAATTTCTTTCCTTTTATTTTTTTATTAAAAAAAATTTTTTTTAACATCTTTATGGGAGTATAATTGTTTTACAACAATGTGTTAGTTTCTGCTATATAACAAAGTGAGTCAGCTATACATGTATCCCCATATCCCCTCCCTCTTGCGTCTCCCTCCTACCCTCCCTAATGAGTGTTTTGATTGGTATGAACAACTCTTGTAAACCAGAGTGTCGCAGAGGGGGATCTGCACTGTCACTTAGTTTTGGAAATGCTGGGTAAACAGAGAAGCACAGAATCTTCCCTTTAGGGTCTCAGTGTGTCTTGGGACATTGCAGGTAGTGACTCCTAAACTTACTTGCCGGAAGGTTTCCGTCTTGTTTTCCACCTGCCCTGTGGTTATGAGAGCTGTTTGGAAAATACACTTGCTTTGGAAAAATAGTGGATGCTTCCTGAAATCCCTTTATAATCATACAGTGACTTCGTTTTACCTCCAAACTGTCACCCCCGTTGAACAGGACCTTCTTCAGATTCGATCGTACGTGTATGCAGAGGAGCCAAACATCGACATTCACAACTTTGTGGGGACTTTCACTAGAGTAAGTAAGCCTCGTGTGACGTGGAATCCGGCCTGGCGGGGCGCACGTCTGGGGTGAGGACCTGCTGCACAGTGCTGACAGGTGTTTGTCAGGGAGTTGCTTTGTGCCAGGTGGGGTGACGTTCCCTTCAGAAGGCCCCACCTTGAAAGCTGACATATTGCTTCTCAGTAAAATCAACGCCACTGGGATTTTCTGCAAGCCTCTGAACAGCTTGAGTCACCTGACAGCTTGGAGCCAGTGTTATTGTAATGAACGTTAACTCTGGTGTCTGAAAGCAGTCACTCTTCCTGTCTCTTTCACGTGAGCCCCTGTCCTCTTTAATTCCTCCAAGTCCTGTCTGCCAGGGTTATAATTTTTAAGTCACGTCCCAGCCTTTCAGAATAGAAATTGAATTTGGATTTGAATTATGTTAGGCCTGTGGGGTACTAGGTTTATAGAACCCAAATTGAATTGTTCCTGCTCTCGTTCTGGAAGCCTGAAGGCTGACCGGCAAAGGGCTGTTTCTGTTCGATTTGCCTCTACATTTTAGCTCTTACCTTGTAAAATGTTTCTTTGGTGCTAGAAGCCTGCATTTCTTAAGTCGTGAACCATTGTTTTTCACCGGGGCGGGAACGCCAAGGGTAAGAGTTCATGAGTTTGGCCCCGCCTCTCCCAGCTGGGCTGTTGGCTTCCAAAGGGCGGTCATCGTCTCCTCCCTTCTTGTGAAGAGCAGGCTGGAGACAGCCAGCGGGTCCTGCCCAGACCTTGGTGGGTCAGCATGTGTCCACTTGTTCTTTTGCAGGAGGACAGCGATGCCCCGATCAGCGAGAGCCTGAGCGTAGAGAACGCGCTCTGGGCGGGCACAGTCACCGCATCAGGTACGGTGCTCTTGCGGAGGAATGTGTTAACAATTTGAAAAGGAAAGAAAATCCTTTTGTGTAATGAGAATAATCATCTGTCAGTTGGGAAAATGAGCTGTCGGTCAAATGGTGTTTCCCACTTGCTCCTGCACCGCAGGGGAATTAAACGGCCATCTGATTGCCCCTCGGACGATCGGAGACGTCTGGAGAAGCCGCCCTGGCCTGTGGACTCGGCCACAGTGTCCGCTCTGGGAATGGCCCTTAATTGCCACTTGAGATTGACGTCCTAATCTGTACCAGAAATTGGGTCAGCCTGGGTGTTCGGGCTGGAAGTTGTGTCTGTGAGGGCTGCCCAGCCGGTCCTGCCCTGGTGTGCACGCCAGGGCCACGGGCCTGATGGAGCCTCAGTGTTTAAAACTCCAAGATGACACGGAAATTCTCTGGACCTCTGGACTCCAAAACAGAGTTTGCAAGATGACCTGTTGAGGTGCAGGAGGAAAAGATTTGAACACTGGTATGAAGCTGAGCAGAAGGGGCTCCAGGGTTTGAGCACAGCCTGCAGCAGCTGGGGTGATAGCAGTGGGGCCGCCAGTCTGTCAGGCACTGGGCCGGGCCCTTCCCTGTGTGTTTACGCGGTTCACTTAATCCTCCCCACAGTACCATGCGGGCAGGTGCTAGTATTGTCCCCATTCTGCAGATGAGGAAACCGAGGCTCAGTGAGGTTAAGTAACTTGCCCAAGGTCACACAGCACATGAAAGGCAAAGTTGAGGCTTGAACCCAGGCACTTTGCCTCAGGAGCAGAACTCAGTGTGCAGCTGTTATTATCGTATTATATATGTTATATAATAATATATTGCTATTAATAACGTAATTCCACTACTGGCAGCTTTCTGTCTTTACCATGGGATGAATTCATTTTTTCCCCCCTCTCTCTCCTACCAACCCCTTTTCCTCTGCTTGATGCTGTTTTGTGGTTCTTTAGTACAACAGATGCTCAGTCAGGATGCTCTATGACAAGGAGGGGGAATGACCAGCACAGACTCCACACAGGTTGCCATCCACAGACTCACTTAAAGCCAGTGGACAGAGATGAACTCTCTCCCTTTTCGTTGTTTACCATGTTGTTTTTCCACTTGCAGCCTGTATTTGGAGCACAATCTAGATTGTCTCTCAATTCCCCTGGTGCCTAAAGATGTAAGAAATTGGTCCTTAATATTCTGCACTGCCCGCTGCCTGGCCACACCAAGGCCATGGCCGTGGCCACCCAGGGCCGGCAGCAGCCCTTTCACCTCTGCCTCTTCCTGGCCACTTGTCCACCCAAGTCTCTCTGAACTTGTTACTCTTCCTCACCAGCTTTTCTCCACTTTGAAGTCATTTGCTAACAAGTAATTAGTTATTCTTTTTAATCTTTAATGATTTGACTGAAAAAGAATTTGTTTCCATTTGCATTTCCTAGGTTATCGGGAAGGTTGGCCATCTTTGCATGTGTCTGTTTTGTTTCTTCCTTTGTCAGTTACTTGTGTGTCCTTTAGTCATTTTTTTGTTACGGTTCTTATCTTTTTCTTAATCATTTGTAAGAGTTTCTCATTTCTGATGCCTAAACCTCATATCCTTTTTCCCCCATCCAATTTATTATCTGTTTTTTTTTTGCTTTTTCAAAATTTCTTCTTTTTTCAGTTGAGGTAAGTTGATGTACAGTATTATATAAGTTTCAGGTGTACATTGTAGTGAGTCACAGTTTTTAAAGGTTATATTTCATTTACAGTAATTATAAAATATTGGCTATATTCCTCGTTGTACAATATATCCTTGTTGCTTATTTATTTTATACATGGTAGTTTGTACCTCTTAATCCTCTACCCCTGTCTTGCCCCTCCCCCTTCCCTCTCCCTTCTCCCCACTGGTAACCACTGGTTCTCTATACCTGTGAGTCTGTCTCTTTTTTGTTATATTCACTAGGTAGTTTTATTTTTTAGATTCCATAAATATGTCATGTGGCTTTAAAAAAATTTTGTGGTGTATTTAATATGCAGGAGTTAAAAGTTACTATTTTTATTTGTCTCTAGTCTGTTAGGTGATAAATGATATTTTGTTATTGTTTTAATTTTTATTTCTTTGTGAGTATGGTTGAACATCTTTTCACATGTAAGACCTTTCTTAATATTTTGGTCTATCTACTTTCCTTCTAGGTTCTTTTTTTTATTGACTTGTAAGAATGCTTTGTAGAAGAAAGGGTATCGAATTGTCATCTCTCATCAGTCACAAACATTTTCTCACAGTTTATTGTTTGTCTTTTGTTTTTGTCTGTGATATGCTTTGTTTGGTTGGTTTTTCCAGATAGAATTTCTCAATGTTGATGTCATCACCATTTTCATAGAAATGGGATTACTAAGTGAAAGGGTGTATACATTGTACATTTTGATTCGCAGGGCAAACTTCCCTCTTCTGATAATCTTACAAATGTACCTTAACGAGCACCATGTTCTGTTTGACTTTAAAATTTTTGCCCACCTATAGACATTGAATAAATATCTAACATATTGATTTCCCTTTTAAAAATAATTTGTAAAGTTTAACAACTTTCTTCATACTTATGGTTTGTTTGCATTTCTCAAAATATATGTACGAACTGCCAGTTTATGCCCTGTGCCCATTTTTCTCTTGCGGGATTCATTTGAAAAAATGGTTTCTAAGAACTCTTTATAAGGACAATAAGGATATTTGTTGTCCTTCTGTTTGTTACCTTAATTGCAATTACTATTTCCCAGTTGATCTCATTCGTATTTTGGCACAAAAGTTTAAAATTTTTATATAGGCAGACCTATTGATGTTTTTTTTCTTATGGTTTCTGGTTTTTGTGACATGCTGAGAAAAATCTTCCCTGCTCTAACATTTTAATAGTACACCAGTGTTTGCTTGGAGTGTTTATATGGTTTTATATTAAAATGTTTGCTCCATCTGGGATTCATCTTGGTTTAAGGAGTAAAGTTAGGACAACTAGCTAGCGAAGGGATCTTACCTCAGCTCAAACCCCAGCTCCGGACACTTGTGCCAGGTTGTGTTTGTGGCCCTGTGTAAAGAGACAGTGTGATGGGAAACAGAGACGTCACGTGATAAAGCATGCACTTTGGGAGGGGGACATTCTGTGTCAAATGCCCATCTCTTCAGGTGGAGCAGAGAGAGGTGTTAAGGGAAATCAGAACAGACTGGGTTTTTTTTTTTTTTTATTAATTAATTAATTAATTAAGTTTTGGCTGCATTGGGTCTTCGTTGCTGCGCACGGGCTTCCTCTAGTTGCGGCGAGCGGGGGCTACTCTTTTGTTGCCGTGCATGGGCTCATTGCGGTGGCTTCTCTTGTTGTGGGGCAAGGGCTCTAGGTGCGTGGGCTTCAATAGTTGTGGCACTCGGGCTCAGTAGTTGTGGCCCGCGGGCTCTAGAGCGCAGGATCAGTAGTTGTGGTGCACGGGCTTAGTTGCTCTGTGGCATGTGGGATCTTCCCAGACCAGGGCTTGAACCCGTGTCCCCTGCATTGGCAGGTGGATTCTTAACCACTGCACCACCAGGGAAGCCCCAGAGTGGGTTTAAGCCCTGTGTCATGTTGCACCTGGCAGAGATAGGACTGAAATTCAAGGATGCCTGTGACATACCCGTCTCCTTCCCAGGCAGTAATGTGAACAGTGCACACTTCATTTCTTGCAGTCAGGGTAGTGGTTACTTCGGGGTGGGTGGGGTAGGGGTGACTGACGGTTTGTTTGGTTAGGCACTGGTTTTGATAATATTCGATAAGAAATACGTGTTTACATGTCTGGTGTTCATTCTGGTAATTTTCTTCTTCCCTTCCTTCCTGCTTTCCTTCTTTCCTTCTTTCCATGCAGCAAACCTTTGTTGAGCACTTATGTATAATAATGCCAAGCTCCATTGCTAGGTCCTAGTGCTGTGGTATACCAGAAGACCCTTGTCTCCACCTTCATGGATTTATAACTTACTCTAAACTTAATATAAATTGCAGAGGAGATGGGAGGAAGTGGGAGTGAGTTCTCTGGATTTCCTCTGAAACCAGTGAGAAGGAAAGTGATTTAGTGAAAACGTGGGGAATTTGGAAGGTGGAGGGTATGAGTGAAGAGGCTTCTCAGCCTCAATTTCAGAGATTAACAGTAATAAGTCTTATTTATCAGACACTTTTTATTTTCCAAGTGTTTTGCTTTTGTTCTCTTGTTTTGGTCTCACAACATTAAATGAGGACAATTAATGGAATGAAGAATTGAGTCTCAGAGAGGTCAAGTGACTTGCCTAAGGTCACACAGCCTTGGAGAGATCATCTCCTGTGAGGAGGAGAATGGAAGGCAAATTGGGATCTTGAAGATGGAAAAAAGATTTCAAACAGTTCATCAGAAATGTACTGTGAAGTTAAAATATGCATTTTCCCACCTGTCTGAATTCTTTTCTTTGTGTTTGGTGATGTGGGAAGAGAGAGAGAGTGGTGATTCCTGATCCAGTGGCACTGCTTGCCACGCCCTTCAGTGGACGTATGTTTTCGAGTGAGTCTGAGGAGCCGGGCAGTTACCATTTCCTTAGCTGGCCTCAGTTTCCCCTGCTTCTCACCAAGTAGATGTCTGACTGCACTCTGCTTCTAATGTAAACTCGGCATTAAATGCAAGCCATTTCCTCCTGGGGCTCAACTCCAGGAGCAGCCATCAAGAGTAATCTTAATTATATGAGATTTCACTTCTCTGTTCCCTTTAGAATCTAACTCCTGTGTCTTGGTCACTCAGCTGTTATCAGTTGGAAGTTTAAAGAATAAAAAAGCTTGCCAGGCAATGCTAAGGGCCCAGCTGCATTGGCTGGCATCAGTCTGTAGAGGATGCAGTTGCCATGGTAACCCCACACTGTGCTGCTAAGCTGAGGAGTCACTGGAGCGAAGATAGGGAAGGGGATGGGGGAGGCCGGGGGCGTGTTGGCAGAGAAGGAGCCTGGATATTATGGATCCCAGTTCTCCTCAGACTCTCTGTGGAGGGGGACCAGTTTCTTATCCCCCTGGCCCCACCCGTAATCTGTAGCAGATGGATCTGTGACCCTGCTGTGTGTGACCAGCATGCAGGTCACGCCACGGGGGTCTGATAATGCCCAGCTGGTCTGCACCCTGTTCCTTGGGGCTTGTCCCGGGATTGCAGGCTCGAACGTCAGAACAGCGTGTAGTTGCTGTAAATGTGTTGAACACTCTT